ACATATACCTACACACCATACATCTCATTAATCCCCCACGTATACCTACACAGCCTCCATCTCATTAATCCCCCACGTATACCTACCCAGGCTACATCTCATTAATCCCCTACATATACCTGCAGACCATATATCTCATTAATTCCCCACATATACCTACACACCATACATCTCATTAATCCCCCACATATACCTTCCCAGGCAACATCTCATTAATCCCCTACATATACCTACACACCATACATCTCATTAATCCCCCACATATACCTACCCAGGCTACATCTCATTAATCCCCTACATATACCTACACACCAAATATCTCATTAATTCCCCACATATACCTACACACCATACATCTCATTAATCCCCCACATATACCTACACAGCCTACATCTCATTTATCCCCAACATGTACCTACACAGCTTTCATCGTATTAATTCCCAAAATATACCTACACAGCCCACATCTCATGAATCCCTCACGTTTACCTTCACAGCCTACATCTTATTTATCCCCCACTATACCTACAGAGCATTTATCGTATTAATTCCCAACATATACCTACACAGCCTACATCTCATGAAAACATCACATTTACCTTCACAGTTTGCATTTCATTAAATCGTTTCTAGAGTCATTACTCATTATATTCAGTGCTTATCAACTCATGTAGAACCAAGTAGTCTTGAGATATCTTGGAACAAGTAAATTAACTATCGTTATTCAAATTATCCGTTCACTTGCCTTGCGTTCAGCCGTTCGAACGGATACCGTAAGGAACGTTTTCGCCTGAGAGGTCACATATTTTCCGATGCATTTTTGTGGTCGAATCAGCAGAGTTCTTCTTTTAACGACACTTTTAGGGTCGAGAAAGTAAAATTGGCGATGTACTTATTTCTTTTTACGTGGCGCGTTCTCCGTGATGCGTGATTTAATAGAAAATTCAGCGTGATGCGTGATTGGTACCCCACCTCTGCCACCCTATTGTTTACGTCAAGTTTACGGCGTCTTTACTCCTCATTCCACAGCCAGTTTGACAATGTTATGACGCAATTTATCATCAATAAGAGGACAGACGCATAAAAGAACTGATGTCAATTTGATAGTTAAGGCAACTCACGTACACGAGGGCGCCGCGGAAATGGACGACCGGAACTTGTTGTTCTCCGTTTCTTTTGGTCACGTGGTGATAACGACATTTTAAAACGATTAGCACTGGGCACGAGAACGACTAGTAAGTGACAAATGGGTCTGAAGTCGTCTTGTGGAGATGGAAATTTATTCGACAATTTTCTTTCATGATCAGGAACTGCAATCACTTGCTCATGCTTCACTTTAACAAGGCTCAATTTCTACCGCTCACTCGAATAAAACAATATCTGAGAAAGTCATTATCACTTCCAAGTTTCTACTGTATATAACCACAGGTAAAGAACCCTGCTCCAGGCTAAATTATCTATGCCCTGTCCTCTCCCACGGTAAGTTAAACCCTATTCTAGACTAAACCTGTCTGATTTCCCCACTCCTCCGGTGTTTCTAGGGCTTTGTAACCTCGCTATCGGAGATTTTTCCCGTCATGCTCCGAGTGCGTGTGTATTTCAACATGGCGGACAGCATGGAGATTGATGTGGCATCAGTGTTATCTGCAGCGGAAAAGAATACTAGAGAGAAGTTTAAATCGACAGAAGTCATAAAAGATATAGATCCGGATCTAGACATTGGAAATTTATTAGCTACAGATCTTCAGCCGATTGATATACGAGAATTTAGGTAAGTTAATACTAGGCAGCAAGCGTTACTACACGTGCAAAATCAACATACATGTAGGAAGAAAATTCAGTGAAAGACTTGATATATTTATCTCTATCAAGATCTAATTAAAGAGATAGTGTCCATTCTTTGTACAAGGCTTGTTGGAAGCGTTCATTCGTTCTAGCGGCACTCCACTAGTTAGACATCAAATATTAAGAAAGAGTTTCTCGTGCGAATAGCCTGGGTAGTCCATAGCGTGGAGTAAGTTAAGCTTATCTCTGTTACTCACTGATCAGTCACAACGAGATTTTTTCTTGAAACAATGGATGTTATGGGCTACAATGCTATTTGATTCCTCTCAGTTTGTTTTCAATTGATTTAATATTTATCTCGTATAATTTTCTAAATGCACTGTGGTGTTTTGGCCAGGGTATGAAAGCGTGGAAGCATCTTTTTTGCAGGAAGAACAAAGAGGATTTCCTCAGGAATCTTGCCAGAGACAACACCCAGTTGCTATTTAATGCCATTTGGAAGGTACAGTCTATTCCCAGCATAGTCAATCAGACATTGGGAAATCGAATTCAATTGAGTTTGATAATCCAACCTAATCAAACACCAAACTTTGTGTGAGTTTGATTTCCAAACCAGTCTAACTCAATCAAAGAAATCAAACCCAAACAAATTCAATGCTAGTCTCAAAAACATGGAAAGCGTATTTTATACTGAAGTAAGTCGAGCCTTGAAAAACTTGTCGCTGATTTTCAACACCAGTTTTACAAAAATCGAGAGTTAGGAAATCAAACATGCGATTGAGGTTGTTTGTCTAATTATTTTTGTGCGAGTTTAATTTCATTTGATTGCTGAACTCAATCGAGCTCAATCCATGGATTGAGTTCGATTGAATTTGATCGAAATTCAGTTCAATTGGGTTTGATTTACTCTACAGTGTCTGTTGCATCAAACTTATAAAGCCATGTTTCTGTTAATTGCTCTTGCTGCATTAGTCATTGACAGTGTAAAATTTGTTGTTTAACAGTGTTATTATTTTGATTTTTAGCTTCCGAATGAGAGATCTGAAGGTCTGGTTCTTGCAAAGGTAACTTGAATGATTCTTGTTAACCTGAGTATAACCTTTGTAAACAATATTGCATTGCATTTCTTATTTTAGAGAATACCGAAGAATGTAAATACATGTACAGTGGAACCCTGTTAATCTGGTTGCCAACAGGCTACAAAAATCTGACCTTATTAACGGGGTGACTACATTAAAGGGGCTCGTTAAATGACTGACTGAGTTTATTCTGGCAATAATAACGAGGTGGCTATATTAACAGGGTGTCCATAAGGTGGCGTTTCACTGTATATACGCCCTAACAATCATGACCTTTTGTTATTAATAGTCTTTCTGTAACATACAGCACAATCGTGCAAATGCTACAATCTGATTGGCTGAGCTACTCGTATACTATCAGCCAGTAGAGTGCAGTGGCTGTCGGTCATCTACGAAATGGCAAGGTTTTTCTGTTTTCCTGGCATTTTCGAGGAATGTTTAGATGCAAATGGATAATTAAATTCCTAAGAAGACTAAACAAAGGACATTTACAGTTTCTTGACTTTAAAAACTCAAAAATACTGAAAAAATGGGTGGAAGTGTAGACAACAGCATACATTGTACATGTATTTCCAATGAAAATTCAGTCCCTGCAATTTTGCTAAAGCGTAAAGTTTAATAATAGGTGGAGAAATAGCTGGAAACCATTATTTGCATTAATTTCAGTAAAATAATTAGATTATTTGCTCTCAATTTCTATGAGGTGATAGTTGATTCAGCTATCACCCCATAGAAATCTCGATTTCATAATCAAATCATTAATTAGTCATTCAATTACGTAGTTAATGTTCTTGTTCTGTTTTTTTTTTTGTTTTGTTTTTTTTTGGTGTGACATGTATATTGTTATCTTTCATTTAACACGTCTTTGTTGGATATATTACATGTGATTACTGATTATCCCATTAATCCCATTAATTTCAAATTCTTTGACAGTTACCTGAGCCTCATACAGTTATACCAAGAGAGAAACCTGTAAGTACAAAGTAAATTTAATATCAAAAAAATCAGGGGAAGGTATCATATTACAGTAAACACCCGCATATAAGAACCTAGTGATTTAAGAACCTACAGGCTGAAATTGGGCATTTTAATACCCAAATATATAAGAACCTATTTTGGCTGGCAAAGAACAATAGGTTCTTATACAAAAAAACACTCTTATTTTGTAGCCAAAATACTGGATTTTA